ATAAAATCTGCAAGGAAAATTTCTTTGAATGTGTTTTTCCTAATTGACCTTACCCATATGTTAAACAGCTAACCCAAATCTTCTTAAAAGGCAGCTCAAACTCTGTGGCAGGGACTGGTAAGAACAACTGTTCTGAACTGAAGGTGGTGTCAACCATCGTGTCTGATCCTTCTTTGTTAGGCTTATTACAACTTCGGAGTGTTCCATGTATAAGCTTTGCATATTGTTTACATTTTATCAATTAAAAAGGTTGAGCTAAATTTAATACCTGTCTCTATTTTAAAGAACAATATTTGAGAGAAGCTTCCAGGTTAAAGGTACTTTTTAAACAGATAATGAAATGTAAACATCTGTATTGGTTTTTTGGATTATCTACAAGCACTTAAGTGAAAGGTTATGTTTGCTTTGAAGTGAGTCCAGAAATGCTGAATATATTCCATCTGCAAAGAGGTACAGCACAGCATCACAGGGAAGGGAATACAAGATCCCTCAGTCTTAAGATCTTCAGTGCACCTAATTTTCAGTCTAGCTGTGACCTAGTTTCTCAGGTAGGAAACTAAAACACAGAAGCTGAATGACTTGCTCACGGTCAAACAAAGGAAGCAAGAATGCCCACGTGTATCCAAGTGTTTGCTTCCCTTTGCCTCCTGTGGGGTGCATCTGCGTTAGTCAATGGTGCAGTGAAAGGCGAGAAGGACAAAGAGGTTGGATTTGGCACGATCCCATACAATTCTAGGACTGCGTATGTCCACGCTGCATGGTTACCGGCCATGAAATTCATTCAAGGTATGAATCCATCCATACCTAGCAGGCAATACGAGGCAGACTTCTGTACAGCTGCTCTAGATTGTTGTGTCTTACTAACAGAACCCCACTTTTGAAGGGAACCAACTACTGGGGGGCTTTGCATCCAATTTGCAAGAGAGACACTTTAGGTGATGCCCCTAAGTGTATGTTCTACCTTGCTGCTTCCAGATGAGAAGCAGTTTTGGCTGCATCGGTGATGTGCTTCAGTGCACATCTCATGACTCCCAGTACGGACACAAAGCAAATTCATGCCTAGAAGGAACCCATACTAGGACCTGAATCACTAGTGCAGACAAACCCAGAGTGTATCAGCAGACAGTGTCAAAAGAGATCTTGGTTATTCACAGAAGTAGCTATGGATATTCATCAGTCTAAATCACTCTTTTTAAAACCATTTAACTCATTCCTGTCCAAGGCTGCTTTCTTACGCACATCACGCATCAGATGCAAATACGTTACTAAAGCCAGGAGAGGCGAGATGCTCTGGAGGTGCAGAACTACTTTGCAACCAGCAGATGGCCACTGTTCTGCTAGTTTGCTTTTTCAAATGGATGCTGAGATACCTGTAGATTTGTGTGTCTTTCAACGTAAAGCATAACCCGGTCAATGAGTCTGGTCTGTCTTTTTCTTCTTTTTGATTCATAAATTTAAAAACAAAAAGAGCTGCTATTCTGGTAAGAATTGTGAATGTTGGTGGCTTTTTAAGCTGCAGAAGATGACAATGATCTTTCTGAATCACAGAAGGAGTCAGTATCATTGCAAGAAAAGTAATAACATTTCTTAACATATTTTTGTCTTCACATGTTTTAGGAGATCATACAAAAATAAGCGTAAACACCAGAAATGTGTTTATTGAATGTACAGGCACAGATATGACAAAGGTAAATTAATCTTTCCTGCTTTTGATATGCTGTAATATCATCGTTTTCCCTTCAGGTGATAGGGCTCCAATACAAAGACCTACAATAGCCAGGCATTTACTTTATGGAGCCAGCCTCCCATTTCAAAAGGGCAGGATAAGTTGTAGGGCTATGTGGAATTCCCTCAACACAGTTTTAGGCTTGCTCTATAGACAGTGTTGTATTTTCACTGGATTCTGTTTTTACTGTGTCTTTCTGTTGAGCCCAAGTGTTCCGTTTGTACGAGAAAATAATTTAAGTAAATTAGGGGCTTTTTTTGTTGTTGAGCACTTTTTCTAAATCTGAAAGGCTTCGAAAAGAGTAAAATTCACTAAGACTGCCCGTTTTGCCAGAATACTCTTTGTAAAGAATCATTTTGTCTCCTACTTCAAATTTGGGCTGAGGGAAAGAAGACGACACTTTTTCTTCTTAGTTATCTTTTTCAAGCAGGGATGCTGTGCAAGTAATTGTTGAATCGAGTCTTTCCATATGCAAATTCTGTAACTCAAAGCTGAAGCATGAAAGCCTAGCAGTTTTAATTGCCTGTTCTTGAATATAGGTTGTGCATTCATTGATAGTTTCCCTAATGTGTGTATCTTGATGCTTCAGAGCAAAAATGCTTTTAACTTACCCCACTACACAGTGATATCTTAACGACACAAATTTGCACATTGGGGAGTGCCTTCTAAGCAAACTAATAAATAACTGCTTCTTGCTACTGCTTGCCTTGATAGTAAAAAAAAAAAAAAAAAAATGCTGTTCTGTTTACGTGAAGGAAATTATACCGTGAGGCATCAAAAAACAACCCTTGTAGATTGAGAAGGTGATCTGAATCTCATGATTATGTTCTGTCATACTAATCTGTTAAAATATTAACTGTAAAACAAAAGAGTTTGCAGATGGGGTTATTTGACAATATATTTCTAAACAATGCACAGTCCTTCAGTCCCTGCATTCTCACTCGGAACTTCAGTGAAATGACTAGTCGGACTAAAAGTTGGGAAGACCCAGTTCCAACTGGTAATAAGACCAGTTGGTAATAAAAATAAAAAGACCCTGTGTATCTTCAGAACAGAGTTTAGCAAAGATACACAAATGCTTCAGAACCTTGAAAACCAAAGATTTCAAGTTTTTGCATAAATGTCTTCGCAGCAGAAGAAAAACATTTTTTACAATTCAATCCAGTATTCTAGACTGCTAGGATTTTGGTTGTTAAGTTATTAAATAGAATAGAATGAAGAGAGTGTAAGACAAGATTTTTTCTTCCCCATTTTTTATTAAGATATTTTGTCTACTTCAACACAAGTAGATGACAGATTTCAATGTGATTACTATCTTTATTTTGTAGGCAAAAATTGTTCTTGATATTATAGTCACGATGTTCAGTGAATATTGTGAGAAGCCATTCAGGTGAGTATAAATCTCCACTCAGAAAGACATTACATTTGGACCATGTGTTAAAAACATTTTTACTTCTGTTTTTCTGCCTCTCTCAGTGTTGAAGCAGCAGAAGTAGTTTATCCTAATGGGAAGACCCACATCTACCCGGTAAGCATAGCGATACAGTACCTCAGTATCCTTGGGGAAAGGATTTTATTTACACGAAGTCTGGTAAGAGTGACACTGTCGTCTTTTTCTGCACAAGCAGTATATACTGATTCTGAGGTATAGTGTAAAAGCTCAGCTTGGCACTTTCTATATATTAGTGAATCAGGACCTTCTCTAGCCCCACAAAAAATAACTCCAGCTCCAGCTTCCCCTTATCTAGGAAACTCATTCTGAAGCTCCACTAATTTATGATAAGGCTAAAAATACAGGCTTACTGGCATAGCCTGATACTCCAAAAAGAAGGGTAGGGTTTAAAATTACGAGTGGTAACCACTGTTGTGGTTTAGAGTTCATGTGATGCAAACTGTTTCAGGAACAAGTAAAGATTGCAATCAAAGGTCATAATCTGTGTCTAAAGCCTTTAAAACCTACGTGTTCCAAATCAGGAAAAATGAATGCAGGAAGAGGTCCTTCAGGCTTAAACCAGTGGACAACTGAAATCAGCCTCAGCGTAACTTACTTATCAGATCTGGAAGCTTTAATGCCCTTCAGTTAAAATAACCTTGTAACACTGGATTTTTCAGTCTTTCACTTTATAGACTCCAACTATATAAAGTTCTATAAGGCAGGATGTTGACTTCAAGTGCAGGTTTGCCTGCATTCAGAGTCCCAGGCAGACCTCTCTGCAGTAACGGAGTCTTACTTTTTTGTTCTCTTAATAAGTATAAAGAAAGCAATTCCTCCTGGTTCCTGAAGGTAACTGAAGACAAACAGAGATCTGGCCGAGTTCATAAAATCAGATGTATCGAGCAAGTACAAACTGTTTAGAGGGAAAGAAGCTTATTTTTACTGAGAGTTTTTCTAGTGGTATTTTAGCTTTTTCTTTTAGCAATGCCAGCTTTACTCAACAGAGGAAAGACCTGGAATCCTGAAGAGATACCCAGCAAAACAGAAATCTCTGCAGTAACCAAAGTAGCTTCCCTAGAGAAAATAGAGCAAAAAATTCCCAAAGTTTTAGATGCTAAGGTTTTTAAGGATTTTTGTTATCTAGAAGTTTAGAAACTAAACTTTAGAAACTAAGTAAATACATACAAAATAACTTTCTTAAATATGTTGCAAACTTTTTAAGTAAAATACCGGTAGATATTTCTGTTCCAGTACAGAAATAGAAAGTTTTCTTTCCTTTTCCTCCTAAAAGTCATTTGATCTGTACTAGACCATGAGATCTTGTGCATGACCGTTCACTGCTTTAGGGCTTTGACTTAGGATGAACTGGTGACTAGAAACTTTCAGAAACTGTTACTTGCCTATATCAGAAATGATCGGAAGTTTCAATAACGGGGATTTCATGCTGCATTCAACCTTCTAGCTTAACAGAGAACAGCTTTTGCATCACGTGCTATAATATGTTTTCAAAAATCCTATTATCTTAAAATATTAAGTTTAGCCTAATACTCCACACTTGTCTTCTGTGGATGTCATTTTAGTATTGTAATTAGAAGAAGCTAGATTACCAAGATGTCAAAATTGAATCCTCTTAGGTAGAAATGGCAGGCATTGTGTATGCTGAAAAGCTTTGTCCTTCTTTTTAGGAACTGGCTTACCGAAAAGAGAAGGTGAAACCTGAACTCATTAACAAGAAAGTAGGAATCAGGTGTGTTATTGCAAATGAAAACATAGTTTTTACTCATAAACATTAATCATGAAAAAGGTACTAGAAAAAATGGATTGTTGCATTGTTCTAAAAATGTTTACACTGTGATTTTTTTATTTTTTTTTAATTTATCAGAAATTCGGGGGTTAGCTTGGGTAATTAGATAAACTCTGTAAGACTTCTTCCCCTGTTTTCAAGGAAGGTGAATGATCCTTTATGGCCTCACACAACTGTTAGGAAGTAAAGCAAAATAACCGTCTCAAGAGTCAGAATCTGAGCTGGTTCTGATGGAATGCTGAGTCTATGTACAGTCCGTAAAGCGCCTGGAGATTCTTCAGGATATAAGGCAATGCAGCAGAAACATGGATTACTTTAAAAAGCCAGTCAATATACTGCAAGATCCATAAATTACTACTCTCTTGTTTTGTTTCAGTGAAACTCCATCAAGCCTTGCAAAGCTGCTGACTAGGATGTGTTTGAAGTCACACGTCATAGGGAATGGGAACAATATAGAGATTGAAATCCCTCCTACCAGAGCGGACATTATCCATGCATGTGATATCGTAGAAGATGCAGCAATAGCTTATGGTTATAACAACATTCAGATGACTATTCCGAAAACGTACACCATAGCTAATCAAGTAAGATTGCCCCTTCAAATAAACGCTCTGTTGTCAGTAAATGACTAGTGCATGCCAGAAGGGCTTTGGGGAAAACAGAACCTAGGAATTAAATATTTTGACATGCTTTGCCGTAAGAAGTATTTACCATGGATGGGATACAAAACAGATGCCCCACTGATCTGAGTAAGTCCAAGACCAGTGGTTGCCAGTACTTGAAAAAAAGACAGGGTTTAAGTAGGGAGCCCATATTAAATCTCTAATTGGGGGATTCATTTCCTCAGGCAAGCCTAAAGGCAGCTGGCTGACGCTTTCAAAAATTTTAAGCACAGAAGCATAGTACCGCCCTAGTGAATTCACCGTAATGTAACAGGCAGAATCACGGAAAGAGTAGAAAAATGTTTTTTGATGGCAGTTTAAAACTGTTTTTTGTTTCGTTTTAGCTCCCCCTCAATAAGCTCACAGAACTTCTGAGACTGGACTTGGCAGCTGCTGGATTCACTGAAGCACTCACTTTTGCCCTGGTATATTATACTGATTTTGTATTTTTCTTAGTTGCGTGTTGGAACAGCGATGCAGCCAAAACTGCAGAGGATGGTCTGAGGATATGCTGTTGTATAAATGTACCGGTATTATCCGTTACTGTTTTGGCAGGTGATTGTTTGCTAGTGCTTTGGAATTACAGTATAATATTTTATGAGTTTGTAGGTCAGAGAAATTGAATGAGTCACTGTTAACGTGGCATGTAGTTCTAAGTATAGAAGCGAAAATAGCTGCTGAAGTACTGTTTTTAGTTTAACTTGATAGGATGAAATTGTAAGACAGCAAGTCTCTCTCGAGACTTTGATCACCAGATGTGAAATTCATCATAGTTTGATAATCTGGAAAACAAACAAAAATTCAGTACTTTCTGGTGGATATTACTACAGTTTAGAGATTACCCTGTTTCTGTTTGTCTCTTTTTAGTATTGTCACTTGCCCGTGATTCCTTGCATTAGATACCAAGCTGATACGTAGTTATTCAGTCAGCGAAGAGTTTATTCTAAGAATACCTGTAAAAAAGTTATAATGCACACTAAGGGGACACAGATTCCTCTGTAAATTTCACCACAGGTGGGTTTTTTTACATGGAAAAACAAATAAAAATATAGTAATCGTTGTTACCACTGGTTGCAGGTATTATTCATATTATTTGCTAAAGCCATGCAAGTAGTCTTTTACCGAGAATTAGGACTCTGGAGCAGCATGTGCCACTCCAGTACTAACGGCTGGCATAATTTCTAATACAGAAATTTTCCAGCAGGATTCTTTTGTTGAAATAAAACGT